GCTGGCTGGAGAATTCTGGGAGTTGAAGTCCACGCGTCTTAAAGTTGCCAAGTTTGGGGACCTCTGGACTAGATTATTCAGTGAACTTTTCCTAATTGTCTTTTTACAGCTGCCTATTTACATCTCTGAATCTTGGTCAGAGACCTACCATCAAACATTTTGTGTTCAGAGAAGTGCAAAATCCTGCTCTTTTGTCATTTGTTTGATGACAAAAGCCGCTTCCCTTTACCTCATAGGTCAGATGTTGTACAACGGTCTTGTCGTCCCATGTCAGATCTAGGTGCTGATTCAACAGAGCTGCTGTCTGCTTAAGGGAGCCACAGGCCCGAAGACTTGCAATTGTTAGGATGTTTTTAAGCTGTAAAAAAAAAAAAAAAAAAAGGAATATAAAACATTATTTACTCTGAGAACTGCAGTTCCAAAGGTTGGAGACCACCCCTTGGCTCACTGGCACTGGAGAAAAATGGAACCAATTCTTTTTGGCATGAAAGAATTCTATTTCTCAAGAGTTCTTCTTCTACCTCCTAGGAGTTCCAGGAGAAAAGGACCATTCTTGAGGTCCACCATAAAGTGAAACCAATTTAAAACCCTTCTCCATCCTGATGGTATACTCTTTGAATTATGTCCTCTAATTTTAAGATATCGAACTTAAAGATGTGGGCCATAGTGGCACAGTAGTTATAATGCAGGCTGATTCTGGCCACTGCCAGGAGTTTCACCCTGACTGATTCAAGGTTGATTCAGCCTTCTATCCTTCCGAAGTCAGCAAAATGAGGACCCAGATGATTGGGGGCAAAAGGCTGATTCTGTAAACCATTTAGAGAGAGCTGTAAAGCACTGTATAGCGGTATATAAGTCTAAGTGCTGTTGATCTTCCTTCCTTCCTTCCTTCCTTCCTTCCTTCCTTCCTTCCTTCCTTCCTTCCTTCTTTCCTCCCTCCCTCCCTCCCTCCCTCCCTCCCTCCTTCCATGGTGCACAGTGGTTAGAATGCAGTGTTGCAGGCTAACTCTGCCGACTGCCAGCAGTTCGATCCTGACTGGCTCAAAGTTGACTCAGCCTTCCACCCTTCCAAGTCGGAAAAATAAGGACCCCAGATTGTTGAGGGCAAGAGGCTGACTCTGTAAACCGGTGAGAGAGGGCTGTAAAGTTTATGTCTGTTATTGTTAGTGCTATCAAATTCAAAGATATGCTTAATGCCACATCTGGTTTGGCTCCAAAAATTACATTACTTTCCCCCCACTGTTTATATCTTTTTGTGTCTGTGGTGAAGACGAATAGCCCGCTCAACTGCCCAACCCTGAAATCCTTTCTTGCTGAAAACCAACATTCATACCTGTCCAGAAGAAGCTGTGATACAAGCATCCCAACATGTGTTCCTCACTCTGGACTTGTCTCCAAAAGTGAAGTTCATCCAGGCTGGCTGGCCATGGTTCCAAGCAAGCTGCATCTAAAACCCAAAAGAGATATTTCTCCTGAAAGCTCAAGGTGACAACAATGTCCCCACAATTGGGCTGCAAGAGAGGGATGCTCCAAAGTCATCTGAGACAAACTTCACAACTTATGCATAGACTTCAACCTGTTAAGGTCTTGGGATTTAAGAGCTGACCAGCAGTGAAGCTGATGCAATATTAGGCTGATGCAATGAAGATGAATCAGCACTGCTCCTTTAAGACTGGGGATGGGTTCTATCACTTTAAGAGGTGTTTATAAAAAGGCAGCCATTAGAGGGAATGTTTTCTCTCCTTGTGTCCGGTATTCATTGCAGAGTTCTCCATGTAGAGTTAAGAAGACAGATTGCTTGTAAGGTATTTTGCCTACCATGTATATTTCTGTATATAACTACTGTATATAAACCACTGTTAAATGTCTAAGTCTCTCTGTGCTGTGTTTTGCTCCTGGGTTGTCTCATAATGGTAGTCACACTGCAAACACTCTGACAGATGTCTCTCTGGTCCCAACTCAAAGTCTACCATGACATCGTGTTGGTTGTTGAGCACTGGATATCATGGAACCTTGTTTCCTGATACAGGTGCCCCTCAGCTGATGACCACAATTGAGCCCAAAAGTTCTGTTGTTAAGTGAGACATTTATGAATTGGGCTTTGCCCCATTTTACGATCTTTCTTGCCTCAGTTGTTAAGTGAATCACTGCAGCTGATAAGTTAGTCACCTGGTTGTTAAGTGAATCCGGCCTTCTCGTTGACTTTGCTTGTTCAGAAAGTCACAAAGAAGCGATCCCATGACCTTTGGACCCAGCAACGGTCATAAGTATGAACCAGTTGCCCAGCATCTGAATTTTGATCACGGGACCATGAGGATGCTGCAAAGGTCGTAAGTGTGAAAAACGGTCATAACAAGTCACTTTTTTTCAGCACCATTGTAACTTTGAACAGCCACTAAATGAACTGTTGTAAGTCAAGGACTTCCTGTACTGCTCGAGAAAGGCCATCAGCTCCTGTTACTGCATTTCTCAAATCAACCACATTTGGAAGCATTTTCACCCTTATTTACGGAGCGTTCACTCCATTCCGGACCAAATACCGTATTTATCGGCGTATAACACGCACAGGCGTATAACACGCATCTTCATTTTAAGAGGGAAATTTCAGGAAAAAAAATTAAATTTCTAAATAAAAACTTTGAAGCAAAATAAGGGTAGCTCAGAACTTTTTTTTTATTAATATTATTACCACTTATAAGGTAAATCAGTGGTCCCCAACCTTTTTTGTACCAGGGACCGGTTTCAAGCAGAAAATTTTTGCAAGGACCGGGGGGCGGGGGGGGGGGGAAGAGAAGGAGGCTTC